AGCACCTGCACATAGCTCCAGGAACCTCACAGAGAGCTCCTTCCTCACTCAGGCACCTACCAGCCTGACACCCCAGCCCATTCCCCCCCAGCTCTTGCCCTTCAGCCAACAGGTTTGTCCCAGCACCCTCCAAACCCCCCAGGGCGTTGTTATGCTTATTTTAACCCAGCAAGCTGTAGCCTCAAGCAGGAGGAGACCGTGCTGCTTTGCTTTGCTCCAGCCAAGGGATCAGCCCCGCACGGTTCCCACTGTGGGGTCACCGAGCATCCTGGGAGTGCTGCAGTAAGCGATGCTCAGCCAGTGCTGGCAGCTCCTTGTGCTTCCCCAGGCAAAGCCTCCCCATCCCCAAAACCTGCTGCAGGCAGTAACACCCCCACCCGTGGCGCTGCACCACAAGAAATCTCCAGGGAGGGCTGAGCGCTGTGACAGGGGTGTGATCTGCAAACGGGTACCCAACGCCCAGAAGCACGAAGCGGCTTTGCCCTGTTGTGCGCGTCCCACGCAGATCGGCTCTTCTTCTCTCCTTTCCCGGACAGCAGCTTTCACCTACCTCTACCTCTTCATCAAGGAAAAAACTTTCCATGGAAGAAAAAGTACCTCCTTCAAGGGAGCATGCTGGAAACGGGCAGGACACCCACTTTCCTGAGGGGATTTAACAGCTGCCTTTGCTGAGGGCTCTTATCACTGCTGCGAGGCAAAATTTTAGCTCTTATAGCTGCAGAGACAGACTTCAGGCCAGGAGCTGAATCCAAATGAGAGCAGTACTCCCATCCCGGGTACGAAAACAGACTGGGGCTGGATCAGTTTTAAGCACAATGGACTGAACGTAATTTTGACAAGTTAAACAGCAGCATTGCTCTCACCACCACAGATATAGATGTCGCCCTCTCTCCCCCCTCCCCAGAAAGGCGTAGACATCAAACGAAGATGCAAACCCAGAGCAACTTCATGTGCCACCAATGTGCTCCGGGTCGAGCTGACCTCCCTGGCCCAGTGGAGCCCAGAGAATCCCGGGCAGTGGGAAAACCTGCAGTCCGAGGCTGAACACCCACCAGATTATTTCTTACCAAGAAGCAATTCCTGAACCCAGGCAAACACCTTTTAATAATCAGCTTGTACAGAAAAGTCACGAGCGCTGGGAAGTCCTAGCGAAGAAAAGGGCCTTAGGAATACAAATCTGCAAAACAACTTTTAGCTAGATGGTTTTTAGATCTTAAACACCGATTTTTTTCCCATCAGTAGGAAATTAGCTCACCCTGCCTCTGAGGCTGGTTTTCCAGGTCAGGTTGTAATGAGCAGCCACATCCCGAGTGCCCGCTCTGCCTCATAAACAGATGCTAATTGCTGCAGAGGTTCAGGGCTAACGAGGGATTTCCAGATTGGGGGGGATGAAGCCCGTGGAAGCTGTACCCACGTGAGGGGGCCTCTTGAAGCAGGGCAGGGGACAGGGCCATCAGAGAAACCCCGGTGCCGTATGGACACGCCAAGTAGAGATTTAATTCATGGCGAGCAGAGATTTAATTAGTGCCTTGTGATATGGCATACCCACACCACCAGAGGGAGAGCTGCTCAGCATTTCTCCTCCGGAACTGCGCTAATTAAAGATTTTTATCACGTAACATCATAGTACAGTATATACCATGCACGATGCTCCAGCCAAGCCCTCAGCTCACCAGCATGCATTGCCCAAGTGCTGTGCCAAGACTGTGCCTGGATAGCCTGTAACTATTTGAAATATGAAGGTAAATCTCTATTTCTAGCTGAATGGCACATAATTCTCAGTGCAAAACCCCTCCACGTTGCTGAATTGGTGCAATGACCCTGCTCCCTAAACCCACAGGGGAGGCAGAGCGATTAAATTAGGTATCACTGCCCAGTAGCTCAGCAGGCAGCCGACACTGAGGAGTTGTTGCAACCCTTCGGTTTCCTGGTCGTTGAACAGGCAGCTGCTCTGCACAGCCGTCCCACGACAGGCAGGAAAGCTCCGGGGTGCTGGCAGGAGAGAGGCAACGCAGGGGTCAGGCAGCAAGGACCGGCGGGGGTGATTTTTGCAAGCAGGGAGCACAAACAGCTGCCCAACATCCACAGAGGGCAGAGCGTTGGGAAGCACGAGGAAAGCAGGAGCATGCGGAGGATGAACCATGGGAAGCTCACAGTTGTCAGAGCACTTTAAAATTACACACACACACACAAAAAATCCCGTAACAGTTCCGGGATTTTGCAGAGTTGCCTCAGCCTTTTAAACAGCAGGCAAGGAGCTTTTTTAAGAGCAGGTTTAAGGATGCATCTGCAAGGAGTGGTCCAGATGTGGCTGTTCCTGCCAGGAAGGCAAGGATTGAATTAGATCAGCGTTCTTCACCCATTTTAAAATCAACTTTCACGTCAGCTGTCTGGAAAAGCCCAGATGATCTTCGCTAGTGTGGCCACAGTGGTTTTCACTTACAGCCAGACGCAAAAATCAGACCAGGACAACATTTTGAGTCTAGCCCTTCACATGCTTCCAGGTGATTAGCTTGTGGACATGGGGATGTGCATATTTAAAAAGAAAATGCTGGTAGTTGGATGAGTGATGTGTGTGGAGCATCAGCCAGAGATGAGCTGCAGGTTCACTAACGCCACACCACATCCCCTCCGGACCTCACTCACGCAGATGAACTAGGCAGGACAGAGCACACCCCTGCAGGCTCAGCGGCTCAGGATAAAACCAGCTACTTGTAAGCACACAAAACACCTTGTGCACACTGCAAACCCATTAAAAGATCTGTCTACTAATGGGACATGAGCGCAGCACACTGAGAAGAGCCAAGCCTCGTGCTTAAGAGCAAATTCATCCCCCCATCACAGTCTCCCCATCGTCTCCCACAGCTCAGGTGCCTGGAGGCAGCTGGGCAGAGACCTGCTGCCTCCCTCTCCTCCAGCCACCTCCTGATGGGCATCATCCTTCCCTCCAGTCACCATGGGCCTGTGAAGCGAAGAGTTAATTTCCTCAGATCTGAGGGAATGGGAAGGGTCAACAGTATTTGAATTAATCATTTATTAAACAGTCACACATGTTTAGTTCATGATTGTCAGGTAACCCCCCTCCTCAAACACTGCATATGACAAAGAGCACTGAGGATGGTTGAAAATTCAGTACAGGTCACAAATTTCCTTGCTAAAGGAGAACTGCTCCCTGGTATCCCCAAATACTCTCCCTGTTCCATTTAAACCACCCAAATTTTAACCACGCTTCCGTCATCTCCTACTTTTCCAGGTATCTTGTACTTCAAACCACCACAACATTTACAACACTTAGTAAAGAAAGAAAAATTACCTTTGTCATTCCCTCCTTCACAATTCATTATAGCCTTCCTGCCATCTCAAATTCGAGCATCATTCCCCTTGCTAAAGGCCAGGGCACAGCTCTGCCTCTGACAACACCTTAGCTCTTGTAGCTTTCAGCTCCCACCTTCCCAGCCCACTCTCCACAATAAACCAATTCTGGTTTCAATCCTCCTCTCTTTCACCAGCAGTCAGCTTGTTCCTCCAAAGCTGCCCCCTCCTTTTCCCCTTCCTCTCTTTGTACACAAATCCACCCTTAAAACACACCTTGCTTCTTAACTTACCAAAATACATTATTCAGGACAGAGACCAGCAAAATTTAGGTGACAACGATATGGAGCAATTAAATATGTAACCATGTGCGGGACCCAACGCTAGAGTGTGCTGTGTAGGAAATAACCTCGCACTGCGGATGATGGGCTTGATAACACAGCAGGATCTCTTATCCCTAGACACCGTCAGAAACACTGAAGAACTGGATGAGTCATTTTTTGGCTCCTGGAAAAGCATGAAGCTTCCTCAGAAATCCTTGGTGAAGGCGGAGAGCTAAGCAGCAAACACTGAGTTTTAAAGAAAGCAGAAAACACGTCCAGGAAAAGGAAATTTAAAAAGCAGAAGAAAAGCAGCAAGGAGAGAATGACATCAGATATTCCTCTGTGTGGCTTAGTGGAGCGTCAGAAAAGAAGAGATTCACAAAGACAGGATATAAGCCAAATCCGCTTTATTCTCACCCTGAATTTGTTTATTTGAAGCATCACAGTAATTAGGTTGTGCGTTTCACCTGCAAGCCTGGCTGGGGCCAGAAAGACTGCAGAGAGATGCTCAGGACAAAGCAACAACAAAAACCCCTGAGCTCTCGGTGACTTCCCAAGAAGTCACTAAGAGAAGCAAACAAGGCACAGACCTTCAGTGACTCTGTCCAAAACCCCAGGCAAGTCGGTGCCCAAGCCAGAATCACAGCTCGAGGTATTTCTGCCTTTTGACTCTGCATCTGACAGACAGGCTTAACTTAGGTAAGAAAATAAGAAGCATTTTAATCTTTGCACTTTTTTTAGAAAAAGTTATTTTTTTTTATTTTGACAAGAAGAATAAAAATTAGAAACATCTCAACATACAGAACTACAAAAAAAAAAAGAAAATAAATCACCTAGTTAATTTACTAAAGGGGAAAAATACAGTACAGACAAGATTCAAACATCCCCTAAGTTTATACAAAAGCCAGACAGCAATAAATTGCATTAAAAATATATCAAGCATTACCTGATTGATACGACATTGGCATCTGCCCCATTATTAAAAGGCACAAAAGGCTGAGCGATGAAAGTGTTCAGCATCCCATCCATTATTGTCAGTAAATTGATTGAGATTAGCATAAAAAATTTACTAAACACATACTTAATATTCACCATGTAGATCAGTAAGAAGTCTTTTTTGGAAGGAGTAAGAAGTAAGAAAATGAAGTTGGAAAGGACAAACATTTAAATATGACATCCCAAGACGCAAAGGCTCTTCCTAGAAATCTACCTTCAAATCTTCCCAAAATAGTTTTCCCGGCTGCGTATCACTCAGTAATCACCAAAAAAAAGATTTAGTTATCCACAATCCACCTTCCAGCAGCATCGTGATACCGCAGCAGCATCGTCGGCAGCACGGAGCCTTTCTGGTACGTCTTTGGGCTGGGGCGGTACCGCCCCGCCGCCGCCCCGCCGCCGGTCTGCTGGCCGATTCATTACACCCGCAGTCTGTAATAGCCGCAGAAGCCACCACAAACCAGAACAGGTGGATTTGCTTTTTTTTTTTAACTATATTTGAGGTTTCCAAAGTCACCCCGGGTAACACATGCAGCAGCCGGCTCCGGCAAACTCGGAGGCAGATCTCTGCTGTGCTTCTTCAAACAGTCTTTCGCTCAGCTTGTGCTCGGTGATGATATCTTCCACCCGAGTTATGTAAAGCAAGGATAACAACACTCCCAGGAACTGTGAAAGGAAGGGGCATCTCTAGTCAGAGATCAAATACTGCTTATCTAACGCTTCTTGCGGCAGTTTTTACAAATTATGTATCCGTATGCCAGATATATGGGCAGGTATGCGGTATATATACAGAGAGAATCTCACATTGTTATTCTTCTTGGCATATAGGGGTATAAATGGATTATTTTTGTGAAGAGCTAATACAGCTAATTACCACCCCTGTGCCTTGGAGCAAAGTCTTAGTGGACGCAGCTAGGGGGAGGAGAGGACTCAAAAAAACCCCAAGCAAACCAAATTAACCAACCAAACCCTGCAATATATCACAGTAATGCTACTAAAATACCGGAATGCCACCTCAGCTTATCAGTTACGTTAAATTTAAGTAAAAAATTATAATTAAATATAGTCAAATGGGATATCACATACCACAGCAACAAATCAGATACTCCCTTTAATGGATAATGCACTGGCCCCTTCTTACCTGGGGTAGTAATATGCCGAGCAGCACGCCGGCCATGATGCTGTAGTTGTCCAAAAACCAAATAAGCACTGCATTCGTGCACCCACGGACATATATAACATGCTGAACACTCAAGCGCTGCAAAATAACAGAGCAGACATTCAAACAGGCAGTTGCACTGGCGTATGATACAGTTACACATGATAATTCAAATTTCAAGGAGGCAAATTTGGTCCTCCTTCCCATCTCTCTAAACCCACTGAATTTGACACAGATCTCATCACTAACTCTTCCACCTGTTTTTTGGTTGTTCCATGCCTGAACAAGTTATTTTATTTTTTTTTAAATCTTTCCTTGCCACTACTTTTCTAAATGAAATGCATCCGATTCTCATTTTAGACCACTTGGAAAGTACAGAAGTCTCTCTTTAGCTTTCATCTCTGCTTCCAAGTTGAAAGTACAGCAGTAGAAAAATATAAATTGCGGACCAAGTGCTTTGCAATAGACTCTAAAAAGGGCAGGAACAAGAGGATTTCAGATTCAGTCCTGCAAGCTGCACCATGACCCCAACCCATAATATAGAAAGCACTTGAGGCTGCAAAGGGTCCTAAGCAGATGAATGGAGTAAAGTTTAGCATATGCTTAAGTGCTTTGGGCACTAGAGCCAGGCTGGAGCGTTTAGGTGATTAAGCCATAAATCAATGAATATAAATGAAGACAGGTCATATGTAAAGATAACCGGTAATCCCAAAAACCAACAACTGAAGCTGGCATTGTGCGCCAAGTGCCGCAAATCAGCTGGGGAAAGGGGCTTTTTCAGACCAACTCCCCGCACCAGCACTCCAAAGCTAGGAGTGGAGAACCCGCCGCAGATCCAATTACTGATTTCCCTTCTTAATCACTCTGCAATTAGTGCCTTGAGCCGGCAGTCTCTACTCTGGAGTCACTGGGGCTATTCCCAAGAGGGAAGACTGAAGAAGGAGGAGGCCCCATCCTGCTCCTGGAGGGAGGAGAGGGCTGCCAACACAACCTGGGAAGTCCCACTCCTCTTCCAGGAATAACTATTACAGGCTTAAAATAAAACACCCACTACTGGGATATAAAATACTTAGAAACAGCTAAGTTGGCTTTACCAAAACTGATTTTACTCAGTGAGAAACTTTGGCTTTTAAGTATTAAAAGCTTTCCCCAACTGAAGTCACTACTTAAAAGTATGAAAGCAGTTTTCTTTGCATTAATTGTGGAATTAGCATAAGGGGGATGAGCTTTGGGAAGACGTGTTTCATGCACGTCAAACAAGGAATCATGGAAGACACAAAGAAGGGAAGATACCATAATCAAACAAGATTAGTTTTTTTAATGTATGAAAGTTATTCTCAATAAAATAATTATAATTGCTGACTTCACTGTCTGGTAGATTTAAGTATGCAGAAGACAATTTTGTAACTGACCAAAAAAATGCAGAGAAGCACCACCCTTTGCCACGACAAGGTGGACACTGGTTACGTTACCTCTTTGTCAATGGTTTTGTATCCGCACATAGTGTTGATAGTGTCTGTCTGAAAAGAAAACAACAAATATAAACTATAGCAGAAAACAAAAATCACAAAAAAAATGTTTTTACTCTTCTTGTGTTCACCCAGCTCATATAAAAGCAACAACAGGGTTATTTCCCAGCCCAACACTGGTTTCTTCCAGCAGCCCCAGGGTCAGATTTAGATAGAGCTCTACATGATTTTAGAGAAGTCAGTATTGCCAGTGTGTCACGACACAAGACATTTGAACTGTATCTATCCAGCAAAACCAGCGTGGCATCAGAAACCAAAGCTAGCTACAACAGAGCTGTAAGCCACAGCTGTTTCCACAGAACAAACAGCTGGTTTTAATTTTAAGGCCTTAATAACTTAACACATCTTATTAAGAAAACCAGGGGTTAACATGTCCATCATGCCACCACGATGAGAAATTTAAGCTCAGAATTATCTAAACCCCAAACAACGTCCAATACTATGTATGCTTACATGAACATTTTACAAGACCAAATTTATTATAATATGTTTTTATATATCATATATATGAATATAAAATTCATATATTTTAAAAAAGACTGAATGCTTGCATTCATCACAGATTACTAACGCATTTTCTATAGCCATTTCATATTTTGCTTGCATCCCGAAGCTCTACCTGGCCTGGCAAAGCTAACATGAAAATACTGTCCTTCACTTACAAATCAGCCAACGTAAAGCCCACTGGCATCAAAGGAAGCAATGTACAAAACCAAAGACACGGAGGAAAATGAGAATACACAAATGAGGGAAATAAGGCAGAGCAAACTCTACCGTATTGATATGCCCTCCCTCAAAATTAAGACAAGATATAGAGATGAGATTTCTAAATGCTGGTGCCCTCGGAGCGGTAGGCTGAGGTTCCCAGGTCACCTCCCCAAGAAGGAAGAGGGATGTTTGCAAAAGATGGAAGGAAGCTGGATATTACAAAATGGCAGAAACACCAGCCAGGCTCAAGTTTTTTAAGATCCCAAAAAAACAGGCTCTCACCTTGAACACGCAAGTATCTGACAAACAAGGTTCAGCGCGTTCCTAAAAAAAGAACTCTGACTATTTCACAGGTCTGTTGCGAAAACGTGAGGACTACCCATCTGTCAACCACAGGTAATAAATACCTTGGAAGTCAAGGTTTGCAATACTAGGCATCAGCGTGTTGCTGCGTCTGCTGTGAGTGATTTCACATTTACAAAATGCTTAAGCCTAACAAACAAACACGTGGACATCCGCAAAACATGTGACAACCAGAACACAGTCACATCGTTTAATTTTAAACACAGGATTTGCTAACAGGACACCATGGCACAAGAAAACATACACAACAGAGAGAAATGCGTTAGAAACAGAGGTTTATAGGCACTTGGGGACTAATTTTTATCTGCTACACTAGTGTAAGTCTTTAATAAATACTTTGACTTGAAAATAGTCCCTTCAGAGTCCCCCCCAGCATGAGCCTGGCTCGTCTTAGCACAGGGCTTTTTAAGAGGATCAGAATCCAACCTCCAACATTAAGGGGAGTTTTCCATGACTACAAAGTGAATGAGTAATCACAAACCATATCTGTAGTTTTCCAGGACAGAAACCAGCCTGTATTTGGAAGCATTTGTCAAAAATAGAAGAGGTATGCATCTTCTGGTTGGTTTTTTTTTTTTCTTAAGGCAGCCAGCCATACAGCCACGTGTTAGGGTCATCCTGCCTAATATGCGTCCACGCCGCTTGGACTTTACAAGGCACATCGATGGCATCCCGGGGCGGCAAAGCCACAAGCCCTAACGTACTGCAGCGTCTTGCTGAACAGCCTACCCTTAAATAAGAAGGTTGCTTGTTATTTTGGGGCTTCTCTCCACCTTGCAATTAACTTCACTGAGCTTAATACTTCGCAGGCTACCTTTAGGCTGCAAGTAGTCTCAGCCCCACCTTCCCAGTTGCCAATGAAGCACATGGAGAATATACTCCCTGTTTTCCTCGGAGAAGTTCTTATTTTAGTGCTTTCCTGCCAGACAGGTTGCATTTGAAATCCTCAATGTGTTTGATTATTTGTGCCACGGCTGAAAAGGCACCTAGCGTTATTAGTCACTGGTTATTGCAGCGCTTCGCCTTCACAGTACTGCTGTATTTCCACACACATGGACTAACCTTTTAAAGCAAGACTTCAACAGAGAAATGAGAGATACAGAAAAACAAGCAGTATTTTGAATGACCCATAAAAAGCCAGATTGCTCTTTACTAGCCAGCTCTATCTTCCTCTGCCATCAGCTGAGGGCAAAATCCTGAGCTCGTCTGCTCCGTGCTGCTGTGGATCAGCACATATTATTTTCATATACACGGCTCGCTTATTCTCAAACATCTAAGACTTAAAACATAACTGTTTAGCTTTGGTTTCTGAGAATAAATCAAAGCTCAGCGCAGCTTTAAACAGACTCCTTCTCATACACAAAAAATGTGTAAGCATATGTAATAACCACCTTCACCTTATACACATTTCTCAGCAACAGCCAGCAGGATTACTAGCACAATTATTACATTTTTTTCCTTTTTTTTTTTTAATTAAACACCCATCCTTAAGGCAGACCTTGAAAGGGCAGCACATAACAGGCACCAGTAGGCTATCCATCATGAGCTCTACTCCGTCTGCACTTACACATACTCAACTTCTCTGTCTTATGTTCAGACCAAAGACCAAAACCCAGTGAGGCAGGGATTGCCCATACTGGTTTTAAGTTGAGGAATAGTTCTTTATCAAATTCAGCATTACATCCATCCCTCAAATGAAGAACGATGAATTAAAACTGCTAAAATTTATATAAAACACAAGGTCCATTTATATGGAACTTAACGCCTGCTCCTAGTGCTGCCAGCACCAGTTAATACCAGTTCATCGTAGACTGAGAAACTGGTCCAGACTCCAGCCGACAGGGTGTCCTTCCAGGGAGGATTTTACAAGGTGGCAAGGCGGGCAGTTTTCAAGGATGGGTTACGGTAGAGCAGCAGCTGCAGTCTAGACCTGCACCCACAAGGATGCACTGACCCTAAGGTCATTTGCCCACATTTCTGGCTTTTTCTGGATGACGGGGTCATTCTGTTTGAGTTTTAATTCATGCAGCAGCTGGTGCACATCACTCCAACCCCCACCCACAGAAACAATTGGGGCCCAGGCTTCCTGGCAAAGCTGGAGCAGCAAACCTTGGGGAAAACACCAGCAAAACTTAATTTTAAGCAGCCCTGGTCCAGGCGAGCCATGAGGTTAGAGGAGCTCCCAAGATCCCTTCCGCGTTTCTAGGACTGCGTAGTGGGACAGTAACACGGACCAGAGCCAACACGTCTAATTCATTATTTTCTCCTTTTCAAGCTGTCAAGACCCACAGATCCATAGCTCCCGTTTTCAGGAGGGACCCATTTTCCTTCGCTTCTTCCCCCAGACTTTCTAAAGTAAGGTACCTTTCCAAGCAAATGCCGGTGACCTGGCAGAGAGCAGCGATGCCAAGAAGCCGGGACTTGGACTTACCTTATTTGTGACGCAGCAAGTGTATGGCACCCCACAGGCCAGTGGTCCTGGCGCCGCACAGTCATGGTACACGTTTTGTGACCAATCTTTATAATCTTCCCCACCACAGCACTTAAACTGGAAAAAACGACACAAAAGGCAAAGGAAAAAAAATTTCGTATCTCAACAGAAACTCTTCTAACAACTAGAAAACAAAGTAAGAATAAAGCAATTTTAAGAGCACTGAGCTACCCAGCAATTCTGTCATTTTATCAGCAAGGCACATATGAATGTATACGATAGATACAACTGAAAAGAATTAAAGATATAGGTAGCGTTCCTTTGTCACTCATCGAGCTACTACCCAGGGTGCCAGAGCAAAGTACTCAGTGCTAAGTTCCACCTCCCATCTTTTCCGAGTTGAAAAATAATCTTTTCAGGTCTGGACATCATTAAGCAATGTTTTTACATTCACTCCATCTCGAGCTGTAATATACTTCAATTTTTTTTTTTTTTTTTTAAGGATTGCAACTACATTTCTAAATGAGTCTAAAAGACGAAAGTGTTGCTATAAGGCATTAAAAAAAAGTCTCACCAAAACATTTTGGGTGTGATTTAGTAGAACTGAGATCTGGCAAACAAATACTGTAAGTTTACACTGACTTAGTACAAATATTCGTTTTACATTTTAAACAGGGAAAAGCAGCAGTTTATTTAATCACTAAAATGTATATTCGCTGTACATGCACATAATTATGGGCAGTGCATGGAAACTTTAAAGCATTATGAAGTCTAATGACAAAATTTCCTCAGGATGGTTGGCTTTTGACAGACTTTCCATGCTAACTCTGTTTTTCAAAGCAGGCTGCCATCTCCATAACAATGTCATAAAATATACATATCACTTCCCAAGTTAATTTTTTCTTTTTTAATCATTATTTGGCATGGGCACTGTCATCACGTGGGCCCTGACATCGCATTTCTGAACACTTTCTGCTTCTTCTATAGTCTCTGAACTGTATGGCAGAACTCTTCAATAATCCAATAAACATTTCAACACACCAGCCTTAAAAAAAAAAAAAAAAAAAAAAAGAGGCTGTGAGTCAACTACACGTGCCATTAAGTAATGCTCAGCTGGGCTCAACACAATTTCTGAATTTTAATTACAGGTATATATGCTTCTTTTGAATAACCACCTTGTTAAAGAGCTTGCCATGTGCCCTCGAGTGAAAATACAACAGCCCAGGTTCAAACAGCCTAATTGCCACCTGATTTCTCTTTGTGTGGTGCCTCCTGTTAACAAGATGCTTTTGAATGTCTTGGACCAGCCAGCAGAAACACTTCGAGTAAGAACTTGGGTGGAATTTAGGCTGAATTTGTCTGAATCCAGCTGTGGGGCTCGTATAAGCCTAAATGTTTGCAGGACCTGGCCTTGAGCATCCAAATCACGCCTACCAAGGCAAAAGCTGCATTTTGTCCCTGCTTCTTGCAGTGATTTAGGGGGCTTCAAATGCCAGCTGGGATGCTGGAGGAGCCCTGCCCGCAGCAACGCCATAACAGATGATGCATGAGATCTCATCCCCCTTGTCAGTAAGAATTTGAGTATCACATCACTGGAAAAACTCAAAGCTGTTGCCAAGGACCTACCACACCTCGGCACTGAAGTAGTCCCAGGGAAAAAAAAAAAAAAAACACCAACAAACAAAACAAACAAACAAACCTGCTTTTGTACAGAATCCATGATGTTCTTGAAGTCTAAGTCATCATAGTAATTCTCAATTCCTCTTCTTATATTATCATTCAAAAAGTTGATTGTCTAGAAGGCAGAAGTAAAACAAGATTCAAAACGCTGAAACAAAATTAAAAGAACAGGTTAAAGTGACAAGTGTAATTGATGAGCACAAGAGGAAAGCCTTTTTTTTTTTCTTCTTTTAATAAAAAAAAACAAATACCAGTTAAAAATCAATCATAGCACAGTCCTGCACAGACTGACCATCCGTTCTCTTTTAAGGAAGCAGCCTCGCTGCTGGTTTTGTGCTGAGAAGTGCTAACAGTGCAACACCTCTCCAGCGAGGTGCTGCTTCTCTGAGACTCTCCAAGTGTCTACCAGAGATGGTCTCATTGTCCTCCAGGCTGAGAATGGGAAGGCAGGATCCTTCCCACTGGGCACTGGGGATCCCCAGCATCTTGTGGGTGACAGAATGGCAGGTTTGGGTGGTGGGTCTTGGCACCGTGGTCTGCACCACTCCCTGGGCGACAAGAGCTGACTGTCTCCCTGCTCACCATCTTCCATGAATTTTATTTTCACCATTTTATTTTCCAAGGAATCCATAATAGCCAGATAATGAGCTTTATTCCACCTTAAGCAGAAAAAAAGTGGAAAAGATCTCATATCTGTATGTTTTATAGTCATGGTTTTGAGAAATATGGCAGTGGAGCAGTGGCAGATATAAAACAGCATCTCCTCAGCTTGGCATATTAGAAATTAAATCAACAAAACACTTTCAAAGCTCAGATGATGAGGGGGAAAAAAAAAAAGTTTTCAACATCCAGCACCATGATAGCATAGCAAAAATTGAGACTAAACATAACTAGAATGTAACAACTTTCCTTTCAACGCAGCTGCTAAAATGATCAAAGCTAAATCCTTGCATGTCAGAAAGAAACCTGAAATACACCTACTCATTTTCTCAGTATTACAATCAATGATTACAAATAAGAAGGGATTTTTCTGCAGGACTATCCTAACTGGCCAAGAACAAACAGCAGCAAATACCAACTACTCTCATGCTGCCTGTTTCACCTCACTTAGACTCAACAGATTTGAGAAGGAAACAGAGAAAGAAATGGAAAAAAACAATGAGATGTGCAAACCAATCAGCATTTAAATAGAGGCTATTACCCTAAGCTTTTATTAAATACTTCCTTCTCCTCCCCATACTAACCTGAACTTCTCCATTAACCTCATAAAACAAGCAAAGAAACCTGTCCCTGAGTGTAGCTGTCCTGCTCAGACACCCAATACACGTGTCGGGAAAACGCTTACTGCACAAAAACCCCCAACAATACATTTTCTTTGTCCGAAAGTCAACAGCAATTCTTCCTCTCCCTCTCAGCAAATACCATCTTTGGCATTTACTTACTTTTCTGTCAACCAAATTCTCTGCATCCCGTGATGCCCACACTCCTACACCGGGCTGGCTGATCCGCTCCCTGTGTGGCGCTCCCACCACAACCCCCCCTTGCGCGGGGCCAAGGCGCAAGGCTACAGCAACAGCTAACGACAGCTCTTAGAAACGAATGTAACTCATCCTCTGCTCTCAAATCAAGTTCACAACTCCGGTTGGGCACGGAGTAAGAAGACGACATTAGCTAGAGAGAACATAATACTGCTTCAAAATAACAATGACAGTATTTTTAAAAAAATATTTTTTAAAGCTTTTTTGTTTTAAATAACATATGTCACATAGTACGTATGACTTCTTTTTGTGGAAGTGAGATTGGTAGGACTGGGGTGGGGAGGGAAGAGGTCTTATTATTCAGCATCTCCTTTTAATGCTCATATTTTTCCAGATTTGAAAGAATAAAATCAAAGCACAGAAATGTAGTACTTGCCATGGTGAACACATTTATGTTTTAAAACATTTCTAACACAAAAAAAAAAAAGTCTGCTGCTTTCCGTTTAGAAAAATTAAGGTTTTTATATAATTATAGCATGCTTGTAAACGATGGGGTCTCCTACGGAAATTAGTTATGTTGCTTATGGATGTGGGCAGGGAAGAGCTGTCCCTTACATATGGTAAAACATTTTGGCCACTAAAAAATAACAAAGTCTCCAAATCCAGCTGGAAACTTTCCAAATCAGCCATCTGAGACACAGAAGGCAAACGAGAAGAAAGCACTTTGTAATACATGAAGAGCTAGAAACTCGTTTTGCCTGTATTGCGCATTCTTAGTTACCAGATTTTCTCCAAGTTCTTTAATCCGGAATCCATCTCCAGAACAGGTGGCCAATCCCACCCATCCCCGAACCTGAAAGGCCCTGAAAAGTCTGGACTTGCCTTCAGACTTCCATCAATTAGTGCTCAGGTGACAATTTTAATGCCTTTTATTTGCTCAGTAGCATAGCTGTAACATCATGGATTGTAAGTAACGTTCTTGGTGATCAAAACCTAAACGCAAGCGGCTCACCTGGTTTCTGAAGATCAGGGCCACCACTCCACCAGTCAGCTCAATCAGCAAGCAGATACCAAGAATGTACATGAACTACAGAAAAAATAATTGCAAGCGAGTCCTTAAACAGAACAAACCCCAATTACTCTTTCAATTAGTGTCCTTAAGTCCGTAACATTCAATTGCCAACATACTTGGCTTTCTGCATATGAGATGTCATTTTCAAGAAAGATAAAAAATTATGGTTTTGTTCTTATAAAACTGTTCATGTCACAAGAAAGCCTTTTTTCCTCACTTGAGTCATTCTGGATTTTGCCCAATTGGCAAACACATTATTTTTCTGCTTTGAATGGCCTCAGAACCAATAGATGCATTTACCATGCCAAGATACTTCTCTCCATAACAGCATCCCAGAGAAGCGTATTAATGGACTGCTACAAACCACACCGAACTTTATGTTTTTATGCTTCCTACAAAAACAGTACTTACCTGTTAGCTTTCATTTCTTGGGTAAAGCAGTGCTTTAAGATAATCCAAGCCACCTTCTACTAAATTGCCAGTGTTAAATCAAAGCAAAATTCTGGGCTTGGTACCTTTTAGTGTGTTGCTTCAGAAGAGGGAACTGAGCAGTACTACATCACTGAGCCAGCTGAGCGCAGAGGCTGCATGATGGGCACTAACAGGGCACTTACTATGCTCAGCGGTAAGAAAAATTATACCTGCTCGCTCTCAATTTATTTATTCAAATTCTGGGCTTGGTACCTTTTAGTGTGTTGCTTCAGAAGAGGGAACTGAGCAGTACTACATCACTGAGCCAGCTGAGCGCAGAGGCTGCGCACTAAGCACTAACAGGGCACTTACTATGCTCAGCGGTAAGAAAAATGCTCGCTCTCAATTTATTTATTCATCTCTGTGTGTGTGTATATATATATATATGTGCTCACTCACACACAACCACAACATACGCATCTGTGACTACTTATCAAAGCGCTTGCAAAATATGAATATGATGAAGAAATCCATAGCAACACCATGAGATAGCTGTGACGTGCCAGTCCTTGAAATGTTTTTCCAACCCAAAGGATTGTTTAGGTATAAAAGATGGCTGTTACATGAATTTAGGTCTGCTTCTTAATGGTGAACTTTGTCAGGAAAGAAGTTTTAGGATCTCTCATCTGAAAATAATCTCTAATGCCCTGACCCGAAAGCTCGTTTAATTTCTGTGCTTTCAGTACCCAGTATCAGTGTCACAAACTCACCAGACAGATCTCTTTTCTCCTGCTAAATCTGGAATCAGCCTGAGAAGCAGACATCAGGGACTTTCTTCGTTTAAATACCCTACCGGGTTTGCTACCACAACAGGAACAGAAAATGTCGTCTCGGCATCAGACGAGGACACACCACCATGCTCAGAGTGAAAGAAGCCACCACCGCCTAAGGACAGACTCTCAGTAAAATTCCAGCCTAATTTCAAAATCCACAGTTACCTCTTGCTTTGGCCTATGTAACATACCACGTATTTACCATTTCTTTACATTGAACTGACGTGAAGGTGAAAATTATGTTTTCGTGCTTTCCTGTTTATTAGTCATATGTGCAACTTCCATCTGCAACCACAGCATTATACAGGAATTTCCCTAAAACTTCCCCTTTCAGAGACACTGGACAGAAAACCTGTGCCCCTTTCGTTTCCCCCTTAGGGCCCTTCTCTCAAAGCCCTGCGGTGCTATACAGCTAACGTCGTAACACACCTCTCTCCATCTGCCCCCCTATACTCCACTCCCCAGCCAAAGGCAGACAGACTCCAGCCACCGCCAGCCTGACGGACGACAGCCCGACCTGGGGTTTCTTTCTCTAGCGGCTTCCTCCGGGTTGAAACGAGAAGTGAACCGTAAGAGACTGCAGCTCATCTCTGCACTTAACGTCCCATCAAGCAGGTTCACAGCTTTAGGAAATCCCCCTGTACTGACGGGGGAAGCTGCAGCCAGCTTTCGCCTTTTCCTTCGGCCAAGGGGCAGCACTATTTCCTCTTCTCCAACACTGTTCCCCTAAGCAGGGCATGTGCCTATGCTATGGCCAGACCAGAGAAAAAGCAGGCACTGTGGTGCCAGGCTTAGCGTCAAATGGTATGTCAACAGCTGAGTTTGCACAAGATCCACGCCGGCTGATAATAATTCACATTCCTGGTTGTTTTCCATAAAGCCCTTAACTATTGGAAAGCTAGCTTTCTCAGCGCCGGGCTCTGACCCTCGCCTATCCTGTCGCTGGCAAGACGAAATACTGCTGCTCCCTGATGGAGGGACATCCACAGACCACGGTAAGGGGACCACTGCCATAGAGCAGTTTCAGATTTAATTAAAAGCAAAAAAGCAACTTTTTAAAAATATTTTTCAATGCAGACATAGTTATGGGTTTGAATTCAGGTGACACTGAAAAGCAAGAGCAATGAGCCTTAAAAATTAAGAATAAAAAACCGAACACTTACGGCTTGAAGAAGGCATAAATTATCTCTTAAAGAAGCCAGTACACCCACAAAAGATACGAGGAACATTATAATGCCCAAAAGTATTAAAATAATTGCTGGGGCTAGAAAGGCACTTTCTAGAGTTTTGTACTTCTGTCTTTCAACTTCTGCATAAATCCCAACCGCGAGGACAAGGGCTCCAATCACCTGGAACAGAAAAAGAGAAGAGCACAGGTGTTACTCTTTCTCCCAATAAACACAGAGATGATGTTTTGTGAGTACACGTGAACCTGTGATTACTCACTTCAGAATTAATTATAAACAATGAAACACTCAAATCAGACGTATGGGTAAAAAAAAAACACCTCAAAAGACTAAGGTAGAAAAAAGCCGAGTTAGGAAAAAAACAAGATTCATTCATTTCAAAAATATATTTAATAATGTTTTAACATTCTGGAAGTTAAACAAATTGAAACATATGTCACTGGTTGAAATGTAATTTATTACTCATCTGAGATCACATATATTACATATGCTAGCAAATGCCTTGGCATTAATATTCCTCTTTTGCGTGTCTGTCCGTCCTTCCCTCTCTGTGTGTGTATGTATATATGCCCCTAACAACACAATTTCTAAACCAGTCTGCAACCAACAGCTTGTATGTCTCTTCCTATCAGCTCCTATTGTATTTAGGCTCAGTAAATATGGCCAGGTGTATCCTATACCTCCACTCCTCCTGCCATTGGGGGAAATGCACCAGATTAAAAAACAAACAAACAAACAAAAAAACCCTGCAAGTTTGAAATTATGCCACTTTCTTGAGCACTACCAGATAAAGCTGACAAGCGAAGCAAGAAGCGATGCTTTTCATTTAACACGGTAACGGTATTTCAATCAAAATAATTACAGCTAAGTCAAAATCATTTGGTATTAAACCTACAGCGTGCTGCAAGTTGCTTTGAATTATACTGAATTTGAGAAAGGGGGAAAAAAAAAAAAGCCCACAACACTTAATCATGAAAATTGCAGTGGAAAAACTTTACTGCCAACTCCAACAGCCAGGCACATCCTCAGGGAAGAGCCCAGATTCAAATCAATGATTTTGGCAATCTGATAAATAGCATTCCCCTTTTCTGACCCAACATTTCGGCAATAACCCCAAGTCTGCTCCCTGCACACCAACAGCAAGGAGAGCACGTTTCTTAAATATACGAAGCTTTTTGATCTCACATGGTATGTCCCACACAAAGGTCTACACAGACACACGACATACTTAGTTGCAAGATCGTGAGCCCAACAGTTGAAATATTTTTTTTTTAATTATGGGATATCTTAAAATAAATAACAACTTCCTGGAAATTCTTGATTTTCTACAGGTAAGAATAAAAAACCCGAAGGATGTTACGTGAGGAATGCCACCAAGTTGTCATTTAAAAAGGGAAAATCTTAGAAGGGTTCACCCATAAAAATAAATATACCGAAGCTATTTAAAAAGCAACTTAAAATTTTACATGACCAAATTCAGAGAGTAACTCTCCCTCTGACAAATTCAGAGATTGTACTGAATATGGAAGGCAGAAGAGAAAACATGGTGGACAAATAACAGGTACCCAAATTTACCATTTATATACTTCTACTGTAAAACTGTAATTAGTTCTTTTTATTACTAAATGGTCAATTTGTAGCGTTAGCTTTGCTTTTTAAAAAATTCAATGATTTGAGTAATAACATATAAATCACTTTTCAAGCAGAAGACAACATAAACAGATCAGTTTGAAATTTTTAAACACAGATATAACAATCCAGGAAAGAGTTTCAGAACCATACAAAACAATTACAAAATATAAAATTGGTGACTGTACACGTGTATGTGATTCAGGAGTTCTAGTATTATTATTATTTAAAAAACAACAAACAAACCAACCCAAAACCTAAAAACCTGATACCTTTGTGTCCGGACCGCATTTACCCTGCTTGGAACGCAGCAGATAACACAACTTAAAGACAGTCTATCCTGCAAACCCTAAAGCACCGTTAACAAGCTCAACATTTGCCTGGTAGATTCTTTGTTTAGAAGATTGTAAAAAAACAAACAAACCATTGGACATAAAACACAGGGATTAAAGCTTGATGGAGATGATCTGAATTTCAGAAGTGTGTTGTTTCAAGACTAGAACATTTACTGAAATGTCTGTCTTGGCCATAGTTTTCTCATCAAAACATTCAATTTAAGGTGGTCTTTAGTTTTAAAGATTCAAAGATGCCTGTGAGTAGAAATACAAGATGCATTCCCACTTTAAGAGCTTAAGATATATAGACACATATAGAGATATTTATATACATATGTATCTTCATCCCCTTCCATCTGCATTTTGCTCACACACCCTCCAAGGCTACTTCTAGCATTTTAAGCGTACAAGAAACTGCTTTTCGTTTTCCAAAACCAGCTTGGCCCCAAGGACCAAGGTGGCCGATATCACATCCCAGACAAATTACAGCATTAAAGCTATCTCGTGACCCACAGGGGATTAAACAGGGAGCTTCTCCCCACTCCGCTGCTCTCTTCTAGAAGTGCACCAAGCCGCCTGCTCTGGAAGGCTTCAGGATACCAGACATTAAAATTTTGACACTCCCCAAGAAGAGGACTACAAAATACCCCTGTAATAAAACTCCCTTGAACAATCCTAAATTAACAGTTCTGCAAACCGTGGCATGCAGAGGGCATGTGCCGCAGGGAGGTGGGAAGGCTTCACGCCGCCCTCAGCAGCACCGCTGCTATGCCAGGGGAAAAGCACCAGCTAACAAATAAAAAACTCAGATCAACCTATCATACAGTAGACACACACACGCGCTCCAAGTTTTATACAGGTTTTGAAGCATAAAAAACTATTATAGGGGGGAAAAGCCCTCCTCATTCCTTACAAGCAGGATTTATACTTTTATTATCTTCTATTTCTTTAAGGATTTAATAAAAGTCTTTTAAACCTTTAATCTGGTCAAACCAATAGCAGCAATTATTTACACCAAGCAGATGTGCTAACTCAGCAATCATCCCACCCATGTCTCTTCTCAGAGACTGTGCTCTCCCTTCCTGTGACCAGGGGTGGAAACGCAACTTTTACGTAGGTAGCCCACAAATATACATACTGTTTACATCCTGCATCCTTCACAACAGCTCCCAATTCAGCAATTCACACTGTGTCCACAGGAAAAATTAACTGGCCTTGACTTGCATTAAATGAGTATCCACCAGCAAATAGCAGGGACTTTCTCTGGGGCTTTTGCACGCACAGAAGTTGCTTTCCCAAGAGAAAGGAAAAGCATTTATTTATAAGCAGCGGTTTTAACCCTGTATTTACAATACTTATTCTTAAATGAAGTGCCCGCTCAACAACAGCACCTTCTGTTTAAAATGCTGGATGTTGTTTCAGCCAGGCGAGAAAAATTACATTACAGCCTCGTTCACCAGCAAAACACTTGCCTGAAAAAGTTACAGTGATGACTGGTTTTTAAAAAAGCCCTGGGTGACATGGGAAGACACAGCAGCGATAGGGCCCGTAGCAAACATCCCCTCGGGAAACCCCAGCCATGCTTTAATTTCCTTTCTGCTTTTGGATAAGGCCGATATTTAGTTCCTGGTGATTTTAAGCAATCCTAGGGACTCAAATCCATGTGTTCATCACTCACAAATGTACCAGAGGAACAGCAAAAGCAGGGAGGAAACCAAATGGCCTCAGCATCCCGTACGTCAAAGCCCCAAAAAGCAGCAAAAGAACACAAATCACCCAAAATTTAAGCAAGCCAATACACCACAGCCAAACTTTACTCCCACTTACACCAATTTAAAAAAAAAAAAAAAAAATTTCAGTAAGACTAACACAGCTGAAAAAAGAACCAGCCCGCTGATATTTACAGCTAGTGAGATCTACTTCACCACGCTAGAATAAAAGAAAATTTTGAGAGAGAAACCCACGCGCCCTACCTCACACAATACGGCGCGTGTTTGGCCTGAATGCTGGGAGCACACTGCCCAGCACCAGCGCTCCCGAGAGCAAATGCCGTCAGCCCTCATCCTTCCCCTTCCCGCAGCCCCCATCGCGCCTGCCGCCCTCTCTCCATTAGCAAACCATCTCCCCAGCAGAGCTGTCAAATGAAAGCGCTTGGTTATAAACAAGGGCAGAGCACTGAAAATCCAGAGCAAGCAACTGCAAAGAGTAAATAAAATCCTCAGGCTGCTTGAAAGAAGCTTTGTCTTCCATGGACACTCGGAGAAACATTTCAGAGGGACCCTTTTTCTGCTACCAGATTAATTTTTACATCCCACCAGCAACAGCTCTTGCTGCCAATGGAAAACGTGGAGCAGACAACGCACACGATCCTTCATGAAGGACACGCTGCAAAAAAAGGGTTTGAGAAATAATGCAATAAATCTTCCCTTTCCAAAAATCGCACCTGCAGAGTAACTGCTGTAGAGTAACGCAGGAAACTTCGGGAGTCTTAAACCAAGGGTTTTCCTTGGTTGGTTTGTTTGCTAAGAAAGACAAAAGATATCCAGGATCCCAAAAAGTCTGAATTACACCCAAACACTTTGCATTTCAATGTTTGTTCATCCTTAAATCGTAGCTTTAATCAAACACCTACTATCAGACCTGGTGGATCTAAACCTCTTCTCCCACACAACACGCCACAAGCTTTACGCTCCCACCTTGTAAATACCGCGTCTACTACCACAGAAACACAGAGCAGCAAAACAAGAGCTTAAGTGGCGTTTAAACTGAAAGAGCCAGAAAGAAACCCCGCCTAAGCATCTCGTACATCAGTACAGCCTGGAACCAGCACAGCCAGACAGCATCAGCCCCCGCGTCCCGGAGCCTGAAAAAGCACCTTTTAAAACCACGGTCCTTACAACGAGCCCCGACGGCTCCTTCCAGCCCGGGGGGTGCCTGGCCAGGGCGAATTTGCCACGTTCGAGAAGTCAGCGGTAACAGGCTGGACCCACCGGCTGGGACTTTACCACTTTCAGGAGACAGCACGTGGGTTTTACCTGGCGCCTGGTTGAGGACAGCAAGTGTACACGCCTTTGTTTTAACGCTTCACAGTATCATCTAGCCGCGACTCAGAAAAGGAATTATCCTATACACCGACGACCGACTCTGTAGGGCAAAGGCTTTATTTACCCAGCTCCCCTAGGGGGAAAAAGGGTATAT